CGACGCCGTATTATAGGTATTTATCATCACCAAAAGCTTTGGGAGCGGCAAAACGATAGTTGTGTCCACACGATTCAGCTATGGGGAGGGCAAATACCCACTATGCCCTTCACTGGATCCGCCATTGCATGACGTGAAATGGTAGAATGTATCCCAAAACTTCTCACCAATTCCTATTGTATGGTGCGTTATGTACCATGCAACGTGCACGTAAAAGCACTTCATTGCCATACTAACTGACGCTTACTGCAACAAACGGATGCTTTTTCATAAAGGTGGACAGCACTAATGATACCATACCATCTACATCGAACGTATTAATACTGACTGAAAAGGCCGATGGTAACCCTGCCGAACGCAAACAGGTGACGGACGATCAAAAGCCGATCATCGTGATCAGCGATGCGTGCTGTGGCAGGTCTCATATAGTCACCTTTCAGTTCACAGTCCCATCGCATACTGGGCACAATGAATATTTAATTGCGCTCCATCAGGTATTAAAATATGTTTATAAACTATCAAGCAAGCATGTGTAGCGACCATACAGCACCAGAGCCCATCTATGAATTTGCTGCAATAGCCATGGGGTGGAAAGTTCCTGTTATAGACCAGGTACCATACATAATTAATTACACCGATAATGCTGTTGATATCTAAGAAATGTATATTTCATAGGAACGCTAGCAGTTTTTGAATGAACAACTGTCATTCATCGACATTGTCCGGTCTCTGGTTCCGGAGACCCTTTGTTTTCTTCTCGCGACACACGAAAATGCAGCTGACACGTGTCGTGGGGGGTCGTGCCGTCAGCTGATTACGCCCCAGAGTACGGCAGGTCGCACACAGGTCGGCGACCTTCCATGGGCCACCAATACGTCACAACAGACGAGAGAATGAACGAGGAGTACTAGCATTTTCCCTTAACGCACGCTAGGGCCCGTCCCATGGCTCAGCAGGAGCAGACATGACTCATTCAAAAAAGTGTTCACCCCCAACACCGGCGCACTCAGGCGCAGCTAAAATTTTGAGGACATGTAGACAACTCCTTGACCAACAGTGTGGTGGTAGTCTGAGACCGTACACTAGCGTACAATTTTTTGCAGCTCTCTAAGAACATTGACATTTTTTCAAAAAAGTGTGCCAATGTAAGGGCTGGCGGAAATCAATAAATGTAACACCTATGTGCATTTATAATTGTATAAATTATGACTCATTACAAAGCCAAAAGTTCGCGCTATCGTTTGGTACCCAAATTATATAGTTTTGTCAATCCAAAGCTCGAAGATGTTGACGTGAAGCAAGGCGACTGTTTCTGCGTTTGTTCGCCAAAGTTTAGCTTTTGAGAGTTGTCTGACTTTGTTGTACATTTTCAACGTTTTCAAAAGTAAAGAGAATAAAAGTTTCCGTCGTTAAAGATGCTCTGATCATTTTTGAACACGATAGTGGCCAAATGAAAACGTTTAAAAATAGTCGATATTTCGCGTCCTGGCCAGTTTTTGGCCAGAGTTAAAACACGGTGTCGGTGCGCGGGTTAGTCCTATGCTTCCTGCTCGATGTAGTGTAGTCATCTCAAAAATGATTATGGAAGAAAATAATTTTATGAATGTAGCTTGCACGTGCTAAAATTTGAGGTAATTAGGATTATTACTTCTCGAGATATTTCCATTTCAAATCATAACGTTACTTCTGGGACCCCCTGTATCTATTAACCCGCGCCCCGTAGGGGGGGGCCGAAACGGCCCCTCCCTGTCCTTTTCGGTCGATATCTCCTAAACGGCTAGAGATATCGCCACCAAACTTTCAGGACCCCTCCGGGCATCAATTTTACACATTGTGACCAAAAAATTTTCCAGAGGCTATGATAGGTTGGCCACAAATGACGTCAGAGTGACGTCATGTTCTGTCATTTTCGACCGAAAAAAGACCTTCGCGAGAAGACCTGTCAGGAGTACAGCTTTGAAGATACAGAAAAATGATCAAGACATAAAAGGTGTAGAATTGACAGGGCTACAAAACTGCTATCTCGAATTTTTGAAATTTTTGAGTTTTGACCCCCAAAAATCAAAAAAGCATTTTTTTGGATATATTCGCCAAAAAATCCAAAAAGTTTTTTGAGTTTCGAAAAAACCGGAATATATGTGATAGTGCCTACCGTCTTCTATCTACATACCAAATTTCAGATCGATACCTCGTTTTTTGGCCAAGTTATAGCGAAAAAACTGTTCAAAAATGATGACGTCAAATTTTCAAACTCAATTTTTGGCAATTCTAGAACTCGTAGAGCAAAACGAAGACCACCATTAGACTCCCCGTGACGAGTTGCATCGAATCGATACCCATTTTATGCAAAAATATCAACTTTGAAATTTGACCTAATTTGACCTGACCTTGACCTGACCTTCACAAAAACGTGACCTAGGCTGGCCCCAAAGGCTGCCTAACCCACATAATCGCATTTGTCATGTAAAATGGACCATAAAACATGTATCACACGACACATTCATATTGTGACCCCCGGTGACCTGACCTCGCTGTGACCTGACCTGGTATCAGTGACCTCAGATAGCAAAGTATGTGTTTGACGAACAATGTACCATCGATGGTTTTCAATAAATTACCAATTTACTCGCTTTCACAGCACATTTCTTGAATTGCCTGTGAACGGTGAAAATCTGACCTTTGACCTGACCTGTGACGTCATCGGTTTGACCTAGGTCAATGAAATTTGGTCACAAGGTAGTTCCCGGGTGGGGCTATCGAACGCCGTTTGAATTTTGAAAATCGGCCGGTAACTTTCCGAGATCTTAGGGGGGGCCGAAACGGCCCCCCCCCCCCCTACGGGTGGTAGGGTCCGCCGGTAGCCCTACGGGGCGCGGGTTAAAGATCTTTCGTCAGAAAAGGTGCACCATTCACACGATGACGTCACAAACACCGAACACTTTACAGGTATGCTAGTGACTACCGTCTGGCATAGGCTTAACCTAGCCCAACTGCCAACTGGGCGTCCTTCGTCATAAACTCTATCAAAGCTGTGCGCAATCTTTCATATAATTGCTCCACAAGTTTCATATTCATGCAATGGGTCAGTTAACTTAACCCTCGCCCGCAAATGGGGGGGGGGTGCCAGCCCCCCCCCCAGGTATTTTTATGCTCTGCACTAACCATTTAGCTAGAAGCCTGATTTTTTGTATAGCTGCTTCTCTATTCTTTCCCAGCGACCAGCGTCCTCTGAAAATTTCAAGCTACTGTAGTTTTTGTTTCGGAGACATGAACTTGTTCTTCAGGTCATGCCATGACCCAAATGACCAATGCCCAATATTTTGATCTTGTGAGCTGACACCTTGACTTCGATATTTTTTGCTAGTCTCACCTCCCACTTATTATGAAGCATGTTATTCGACGATGTACAGATGTCAGGGTCAAGTTCAAGGTCAACCTACTATGGACGTCAAACCCTTTGAGACCCCACTTTTTTGCGATAATTTTTAAATGCGTCAACTCTCGTTGACAATATTCTGGCAATGTGTGTTTTAGAACCTGCCGAAACTTTTATTACAAAGGTATTTTGACGCCAAACGATTATGAAAGGTACTTCTCATTCACTCGAAATGTTAAATTTCACGGAACGAATCTGCTGTTTGGGTAGAGGCTACGCGCTCATGAGGCGGAGCCACGCAATGACGTCAGCGCTAAGCTCCGCCCTACCCCTCCGGCGCTCCTTGCCCGGCGACCGGTCACTCGCGTCTCTCGCTCCATTCAGGCTTGATGGTGGGCGGTAGCTGGTATCGGTAGCGGGCGCTGGTAGATGGCATTTAGAGCAGATGGCGCTGGTGGCGGGGCTCGAGTGTGGCCGAGCGCAAGCCTCTGCCTGGGCCTGAATTGACCTTAGCATTACGAGTGAATGAGGAGTACCTTCCATAATCGTTTGGCGTCAAAATACCTTAGTAATAAAAGTTTCGGCAGGTTCTGAAACATAGGATTGCCAGAATACCTATTGTCAACGAAAGTTGACGCATTTAAAAATTATCGCAAAAAGAGGGGTCTCAAGGGGTTTGACGTTCATAGTAGGTCATCTAAAACATTGCATTTTTATAGGCTAGCTGATTTTTATTTTCGTGAAATTTCTTTGACTGTATTTTCGGTAAAACTTTCTCATTTCATGATCTCATGTAATATGGACAGTGGACACATAAACAATCGGTGCACACAACAGTATTACATACACACAGACACACACAGACATACAAACACATATCACTGACCTTGACCTAACTTGATCTGAAATGACCACAGCCAGTAAAAACCTAGTCGGATACCTAGTGTGATAAAGAGCTATTCTAGCTGGCTTGACACCACAAACGGCAACGTCGTCGGTATATGATGGGCACAGCTCGTAATATTCCAACGGTGGCCCCAAACAGCAACATTTTTTATTTTGGCCTGACATGGAAGGTCAATGATTGACCTAGCGAGTTAAAATTGGGTACCATTGGATTCATCTCTTCCCAAAGAATTTGTTGGTCTATTCCGCGAAGCTCTATCTCCAGCAGGAGCGAAATGGCGCGGGGGGGGGGTGGCACCCCATGTGCGTTCTAGGATGGGATAATGACATGGTGCGGGCGAGGGTTAAGCACAGGTCAGGCCTCAGGGCAAGGTCAGGATCAAGGTCAGGTAAATAAGACAGGAACATATCCCTGCAGTAAGGTCAAAGTCGGCATTCGTGGCTTATAGCCATCTTCATGTAAGTATATTTTGGCTGTAAAGCTCGATGGCGACATCCAGTTTATCATGCGTCTACGTTTTTAGTTGAAAGGGATAAATAAGAAAAAGATAAAGCGGAGGTCCCCGGTGGCTGTTCAGCCGCCGTGAGCAATGACCGCCGAACATTGTTCGCTGACGGAAGAGTGACGGGGATGGACAGAGGGAGCTGTGACGGAGAGGAGCCGAGGGGGTGACCGAGGGGTGACCCAGGGGAGGGACAGAGGGGGTGGCGGAGGGGACAGAGTGGGCGGGGCCACACGCCGGGCCGAGCTGACGAGTCTGGGTCGGTTTGAACGGTCGGTTGTCGGCTGCAGCGGGGCCAGCGGTCAACAGGCGCCTCTCGCACTGTCAGAGCTGGGAATACAGTGCACACGTGCTGTATACCGTGAGCACAGAGACGGGTTCCGTCATGGGCAGCGGTAACCTCCACTGGCCGGTGGTGCTGCTCGGTGTGGCTGTGGGTTTTCTGGCGGCACCGCGGGCACTATCTGCTGCCGGACTCGGTAAGTGGAAACGGTAACTGGGATGGTAACTGGGACGGTAACTGGGATGGTAACTGGGACGGTAACTGAGGCCGACTGTCAGCACGACAGTGCACCTGTGTGTATGTGTGCAAAGACTCGCTAACTTTGCTCAACCGTGAAATAGAAGTCTGATTGCAAGGAATACAGCCTGCGTAATTTTTTTACTTTTATGGTAGGTAAAGGTAGGTGTGCTTTCTGGTGTCATTTCAAATGCACTTTAAAGGGAGATTATGACCTTTTTCCACAAAATCTGAGTTAGGACCATTTTCTGACAAAACACAACAAGTTATAATGTAAATTAAAACCATTTTGCTCAATTCGGTACCTTGCCGCAAATATCTCAACTTGAAGTCACGTTAGCGGGGAGCGCTGAAAATGACCGTTGAATAAGTACTTGCGTCACTTTTTGGTACTTGCATGTAATTTTGTAAAATGAGCGTATTCATTACATTTGATCTTCATCACATCTAGTTAGTTAATGGTCGTCTATAGTGCCTTCAAAAGATATTCATGGTTTGGGGGTGGTTTATGTCTAAATTTACCAGAGCCTATTTTAAGGGAATTTGACTGGGGGGGGGGCAACCTGGAAAATTGTCTTTAATAATCCATTAACCCTCGCCCGTATTGGTGTTTCCAGTAGCGAGCGTATAGGGGGGGGGGGGGTCCGTTGGACCCTCCCCCTTGCCGTTTCGCCCCTGATCGAGCTAGAGCTTCGCGGAAAAAACGACCGTGTTGCCCGTGATAAAAGGAAGCCGATTATACCCAATTTTAAGGTCCTAGGTCATCGGTTGACCTTCCAGGTCAGGTCATTGACCCAAAAGTCGGGAAAATCGGGACCTGTTAGAGCGTCGTAAAGAGTGGCTGCAATGGTTTTTCGGGGTGCTGATCACGAATATCATGTTAGTTATGATCATAGATCAGTGGTCGGCAAGTCCTCCGGGGTCGTGCCCCCTTTTTTGGCGCAAGGCAGCGCCATTACCCCTACCTGCCAGACCCCATTGGTGATATAACCAAGTTTAGTGAAATTCCATACTTTTCCGCGACTCTTTGGGTACCATATCTGCGAGAAACCATAGCCCCCCCCCCCCTGCGGTTTCTTGCAAATATTTCAAAAACGTTGAGCGCCACCATTTTGTCACATTTTGTCATACATCTTTTTCTGCACATGTTGTGAAAATTTCATGTTGTGAAAATTTCAGACCAAAGTCTCTCAAAGTCAGGTCACCAGATCACGTCAAGTGACCTCACCTCAGTAAAGACTGTAACGCCTGTTGTAGCTACACAGAGTGACAGATCTCTTTCAAACTTTCAGGAATTGATAAAGGCAACAGCATGTACAAAATTTGTATCTCGGAGATTTAATGTCTGTGACCAAAGGTCAGCTCACTTTCACGCCCTCTCTCGTTATCAATAGGAGATGTCGCAAAGTCAATGGTAAAAATTGAAAGACGCCTCTTTTGGACGAGTGTCATTCCTAACACTGTGAAGCACTGAACCACAAGTAAACATGACCACTGAACCGGAAAACTACACCCGCAACCCCGCAGGCCGCAACCCAACCCTGAGGTCATTTCAGGTCGTGAACGGTATCATAGTTTTTCGCTAATAACTTTTGATAAAAGCATGCCAGAGCGATGAAAATGCCTTAGATGTGTTTAGCTCGACGACACGGATCACCTGATGTGCAACAAGACCTTCGATGCTTCTCGACGGGAGGAGCACGATGCTGATAAAAGTGCGCTCTTGCAAGTTCTGAGTGAAACGCTATTGAAGAAAAACTAGCAGCAAACAACGTACATTTTATCAGCAAACAACGTACATATTAGCAGTTTTTGTCTCCTGAAGGCTAAATCGTTATTCATCAGGTTAAATCTGGCTGGGGGCGTCATCAGAAAGAACGGAATTGCTAATTGAGCTAATTGAGTATCGAATGCGTTTTTCCACAGCGCTCTAACTCTATCCTTTCCTGAGCTATATGCCAGTTTGTCGAAAATTGTCAAAGGTTGGCCTGGAAATTGGCGAAATTTTACGTTCGATGACCTCTGGTGAGCTGACCTTTGACTTGACCTAAAAAGTGACTATAGTTTTCCTTCATCATTTCTTACTCTCTTTCGAACGCCGACTACGGCGTTTCGCTAGTGATCCAGGAGCCAAGTTAGTAAGGGTTGTTCAACCTCCACCTCCAGCAGGGTGTGGATACCCAGGAGCCCCATCGGGGCGCGGGTTAACCCCCATACGCATAGGGGTAGCGGGTATTTTTCGGGAATAGAATAGATCACGTTAAAAGGGTGGGATTACGAAAAACGTACCCTCGAGCCGATCATCTTTATCTGTCCTGAAAATGGCATGACCTTAACCCGAATAACCGTTGATTTGTGAGATCTGTCTTGAGATCATGGCAGGCCACAAAATCTCACTTCAAGAAGTTACAGCAAGAGCCGATTTACTCGGGACTTGTCATTGACCTCTGGAAGGTCACCAAATGACCAAGAACCTTTAAATTGGGTAGCAGCGGCTGCCTATCTTCATGGGCAGCACGCTCAATTTTTCTGCAAAGCTCCAGCTCAGAGGCCGAAATGCTCGGGTCAGGGTGCAATGGACAACTCCTCTCCAGTCTCCCTTGCGTTAGTGACTGTGAAAACGCCAATAGGCGAGCGCCAGTTCATACATGACAGTTACTTTTGCGCGACTGTGCGGAATGGTGAGCAGCTATGTACAGCCCACCGCTAAAGTAATTTAGGGTTTTACCAATCTCAACGGTTGGCTTTGACTGGCGATTGTTTAATGCGGAGTGATCGAAAAGAAGATGTCAATAGCTAAAGTTGCAGCTGCAAGGGTGACGATACATATAAGCTACATTCAAAGTTTCATTGTAGTCTGGCTAATCGTTCCTAAGCTTCAGAAGCAGAACATACCCATGACTGAAACCCCACATTACTTCTGCTGTGGACTGTACATACATGAAAATTGGCATGCGCCAGCTAATCAGTTCATGTTTTGTTCGTTTGCCCTCGACTAATCTTTGAATCCTGGGGCACAACAATTGCGATGTCTGTCCCATCAAGGGAGCCATTAATTCTAAAAAAGATGAGGCTTTCTCAGAGGCCCTCATTACCCCCCGCCGAAGGGCGCCATTACCCCCAAAGGGGGCATGCCCCACCATTTGCCGACCCCTGTCATAGATGATGTCTTCATGCATTTAGGCCAGGTCAGGTCAGGTCAGGTCAACCAGTAAGGGTTTTTCCGGGTATTCGTAGTAGGTGGCAACCGCCTCTGACAGCTTCGTAACATGTTACGAAGGCACCAAAACTACTTCGTAAATGGTCAAATGGTTGCTTAATTCGAATTCAGCTCCAAAAACTAGCCTAGAAAGTAGAAACATATAAAACTCGAAAATGTGAACCGAGGTCATCAAAGGTAAATGATCTGACCTGACCTTCCGGTGATCTTGACACCCACCCTAATGCATGGGAGCTACATCATATCCCATGTTTGAACGTTTGAAACCACGAAAAGACTGCAAACGCGCGGCTAATGCGAGGCGACATACGCCGAATCGCGACCTCGGCCAAACATGGTGCCATGGTGCTAGGCCGCCGGTGCATCTGAAAGAACTGTGGTGCCCCTGACAAGCCTGAAGTTCCAACGACAGGCCCGTGGTGCCCCTGACAGGCCCATGATGCCTTTGCGAGGCCGGTGGTGTCCACGTGAGGCCAGTGGTGCCCCGGCCTGGGCCCTGACAGGACTGTGGTGCTCCTGACAAGCCTGGAGTGTCCCCGACAGGCACGTGGTGCCACTAACAGGCCCAAGGTGTCCCAGTCCCTGCGAGGCCGGTGGTGTCCCTGCCAGGCATGTGGTGTCCATACTAGGCCTCTGGTGCCCCTGACAGGTCCGTGGCGCCCTTGCTAGGCCTATGGTGCCTCTGGCAGGCCTATGGTGCCCCTGGCGGGCCTGTGGTGGTACCCCTGACAGGCCCAAGGTGGTGCCCCTGCGAGGCCGGTGGGGCCCCTGGCAGGTCTGTGGTGCCCCTGGCAGACCTATGGTGCTCTTGCTAGGTTGATGGTGCTCCCAACAGGCCTGTGGTGCCCCTGACAGGCCGGTGGTGCCCCTGGCAAGCCTGTGGTGTCCCCGGGCCCCAAGAGGGTGGGGGGTCATGACCCATATGACCCACCCTTAGATACGCCACTGGTCATTTACAGACTGACTCATTTGACATCCATTGCAAAACAAGTCACAGTAGTTACGTAGTATGTTTGTCACCCTGTTCCTTTATGCCCATTTTTATAGTGGGCAAATCTCGACGACTAGGGGGGCAATTCTGTTGAGTGCGGGGGCATTTGCCCCCCCCCCAGTTAACATGTTAAAATAGGCCCTGAAATTTACGCAACTATTTTTCCTGTTCATCATCTGTCGCCATATGCTGCTATTTTAGTAGCAACGACTCAATTTTGAATCGGTCCCGCCGACTGCACAATAAAAGAAGATAGATACAACACTTTTGCGGCATCACTGAAAAACTTATGCAGTACTGTTATCAAAATTCTCATAACACCGTTCGACAAACCTGAAGTCTTTTTGAAATAAATATGCTTGTATTTTTCGCTTCAGGCTCTGAGGCCAAAATAATGAATTTCGTAGTCGCAATCGCAAGATTTGGCTGCGTTTCTGGCGCATGCCGTTCATTTGTGGCGCAAAATAATACTTGGAAACAAAGAAGAGTAGGCACTCTGTACCCCCGAATTAGAATCTAATTAATTCTAAACCGAATTAACTCTAATTCAAATTAGAATCCTTACAACCAAGCAACGACAAGGCGATAACATAAACAAAAACCCAAGCGTCGCTGTTTGAAACAAAAGCGCCATATACTGCGACATTTTTTTATAGAGAAGGACAACGCATTTCGGTGGGTGTTACAAGTACTGCAAGTACTGCTTCTTTTTTGCAAAAATAAAAACCTTTTTCACATACGAAAATGTGCTAGGAAATTTTCATATTTTATAGAAACTACAGTAGAAATAGTATAGATGTCGAGTAATTTTTATTTAAGAAACAAGAAAGCTCATTATCTCCCTTTAAAGACGTTTTTACACATCATTTCATTTTGAACGTTAGCGTCAACTTTTCAAAAACATAATTTAGTTATGTCATTGCATACCAAAATAAATTATTCGAACATCTTATACTGTGACATGGCTTATATACTCATACAGCTTTAGAAAATATGTTTCTTTAGCGATGTTTCAATAGTTTTGTGTATCAATAGTTATAGGTTATGTTTGTGCAATTCACACGTACCTACCTACATATTTGGCTCCTTTGATGCTTTAACGACATCAATATTCTTTCTTATACTATACCTATACGCAAAACGATTAATTGGCGCTAGGCTTATCTGTACGAGTAGAACAGTTTTTGATCTTATCGCTTTCTTGCCATATAGCCATGCATTGTTGTCACATTTCATAATAACATATCGACTCAAAGAACTAACGCCGCTGGCTATATTTCAGATCGTTTTGTCCAAGGTACATCGGTCAAAGCTTCTGACTTTTCCAATGACGTAAGTACTTACATACCCAAAAGCGTTGGTTTGCTATTCTATTTGGCCTTATAGCAGCGGCTCGAGGTGAATAGAATTTCTAAAGATGGGCATTTGATTTGTTATCCGCGTTAAAATTGAAACGGATGGATTTAGAGGCAACATGCAAAAGTTTCCTAAGTAGATTTTGCATGAAAACGACCGCCAACCATTATCGTGAATTGTCAACTGTTAGATGCAACTAACAGCGAGTTTTGTTCAGTATTCAACGTACCTATTTCACAATTCAGCATTGCCTATATAGAAACTGCTGTTGCTCATATGCATGAATGATGAAACACTGTATAGAGCCTGTTATCTAAAAATTTTGCCACATGCACTATGCACATTACCTGAACTGCTATCGGGTCCCCGAAAGTTCCGTCCGCTGACCGCTGGCTCCCCCGCTCCCCGCTTCAGGACGACCCGGCCCCGTCTCGAGGGGGACGGCTGACGCCAGCCGGGGACCATCCGTTCGGCGGCCGGCAGACGCAGGCCATTTACGAAGGTCAACCGGCCACCCACGACCCCGACGTGCCCTACGGCCAACGCCAGCGCTCCAAGTGGCCCTGGATGGTAAGGGCACTTACATCCGCAGCCGGCAGCGGGCCGGCTACGTTCAGAGGTGGGCAGGCTTCACAGTGCACCATATGAGAACATGAAAGACCTTCTCTCCAGCTCCCGGTTGACATCAGCCCTGTTCTGTCTGGGCAGGCTTTGCTGCGAGCCCAGAGGAAAATGGTCTTCATGGAGAACATATGCGGGGGTTCGGTGATCGACTCCCGACACATTCTGACGGCCGCCCACTGCATGGATGAACACGCCATGAAACGGTCAGTAGCCTATCAATTACAGAGGAATCCACTTAATAAATCCTCGGATAATAAATCCAACCGCTTATTGTGGCCACTTGAGCTGTTCGCAGATTTTTCTTATAGAAGCCCATTGTCAATAAACCCGCTTAATAAATCCAGATACTCCCCTCAACTCGCGCCCCACTGCCACTGGGGTCTGCGTATAACGCGTCCCACTGGGGGGGGGGGGGGGCTCTTCATAGCCTCCCTCCTAACTCCAAAACTACTGGGCCGATCATCAAAATTCAAACGGCGTCTGATAGCCCCGGAAAAACTGTAGAACGAAGCCTAATTTCATTGACCTCGAGGTCACTGATGACGTCACAGGTCAGGTCAAAGTAAAAATTATTAGCATTTTGACTTGTTCACATTTTTGGCTCTGGCCGCCATCTTACAAGTCAGATGAGGTTCATTTTTGGTTTACACACTCGTGAACAGATGCTTTAGATACCCTAAGGGTACCAAACTTTTACTTTGATTTTCAGGTCAGGGTCAGGTCATCACAAGTCACGGATATATTATATCATGCGTCGGTCACGTGACACATGTTTTATGGTTCATTTAGGCCATAGATTTCGAATGTGAGGTCGTTTGTGTCAATCGAGGTCATTTTTAGTTGAATTTAGCTAAGGTCAGGTCACTTTCAGGTAAAAAAAGGTCAAATTTTGAAGTTTTTTTTCAACAAAACAGGTGTTTATAAGATGCAGTTTAACCCTCGCCGGCCGAGGGGGGGGGGCGGGTGCCGCCCCCCCATAGGGTTTTTTCGCGATAGCTCCGAACACGCTGGCGATAGAGAGCTGAAACTTGGCATACCTGACCTTTGATCCAAGCCGGATCTTTTGACACCAACCGCATTTTTGGGTCAGGTCAGGTCACTGACCTATGACGTCATAAGTGAACCTCTGCACGGTCTTCAGATGTCGCAACTTCGCAACGCCCTCACTGCCAGAGGAGATGTCACAGGGAAATGAAACTTGCAGGATCTAGTATCCATTATGAGTCCCACAACTTGTATATCTCGGATTTTTCCTAAAGGTCATATGAGGTCAGGTCATTTTCGTGACCTCACCATTATAAGTCAATGGGGAAAAATTCAAACTGCTATTCTGGCGCCGGGAACGATCTCCAACTATCTCAAGCACACATAATCGTGATTTGATACACTCCTTGCAAGGTTAGATGCGTCACTTTTGCAATGTTGACCTTGCGTGACGTCATTTATGACGTCATCAAGGTCAAATTAGTTTTTCGTCAATAACTCTTGATCAAATTGAGCTAGCGAGTCGGGAAAGGCACCAATGGACTCAGGAAGGCCTGCCGAATCGAATGATATGCGACATGACCTCTTTCGACCAACTTCGTGACCTGGGGGTGCTGACCTGACCTTGACCTGAGGTCAACACCCCAAGTTGACCTGACCCGGACAAAAAGTATATCATTCGACGCGCCTGAGCGAGGCGAACACGATGCTGCCAAAATCGGCGCTCTGCGGCCGTTTTTTGCGAAGTTATTCACCAAAAACTGAACCGTACCCTGGGGCACTTGACCTGACCTCAGAGGTCACCGGTTGACCTAGGACCTTAAAATCGGGTACCAATCTCTGCGTCTCGTAACGGCGCACACGCTCGTTTTTTCCGCGACGCGCTAGCTCCACCAGGGGCGAAACGGCGAGGGGGGGGGGTCGTACCCGCCCCCCCCCCTCGGCCGGGGCGTATGTAAAAAACCAATAGGTCCGGCGAGGGTTAAGCTCAGGAGCACGATGGTGCTATTTATATTGGTGTACGTTGTGAAATGCGTACTGAAAAATCGATTTGAAAAAAAAATTATAATTGTAAATTTTCTGACACTTTTGAGTCAGTGACACTTTGGCAAAGGGACACTATATATTGCCAACGGGCTTTTCTACATACATGACCAGTGCCTAGGACATCGCCTCTCAATTATCCAATGTCAGTGCGAGCTCACATTTAAATAAGATCCAGATTATAGATCCTGTATTCACCGTTATGAACTTATGGGAGAGTCTAGAGATCGTGAGCCTGTTATCCATTATTGAGGTACCTACTCATAAGCCGCTATGAAAATGGTTCATAAAGTTCAGATCGATTGCCTGTTATGGATATCATGTGGCTTTAATTATGATGTTGCAGGGACTCCCTTCTGGTCCGACTGGGGGAGTATGATACATCCACCTTCATGGAAGGAAACCACACAGAATATGACGTCGAGCGCATTATATTGCACCCAAACTATAAAGTAAGTCTAAGTAGCGGTTCGACCGATAAGATCAAATAAGGGACAAACCCTTAGAAAACACGTCTTATTTATTTATTGCTATGAAAGCTACATCTGTGTAAAGAAATACGTTATGTTCTCGAAGCGAGCTATGTTTCTGTTTACGGTGTGGTCTTCTGACCTCTCTGTGTTTCCTGCCCGGCGGCGTAGCCCCATGTGGTGAACTACGACATCGCGCTGCTGCGTCTCAGCCGGGAGATCGCCTTCTCTTCGTCGGTGTGCACCATTCCGCTGCCGGACGGTCCCACTGGAGACCTGGCTGGAAAGACGGTCACCGTCGCCGGCTGGGGCATCACCGAACGAAGCCGCAACTCAGTAGGTGGGTCACAGTGCAAGGGCGGGGTGGAGGTGGGGGGGAGGAGGGGGGTGCTCAACACTCAGACGCTGGTCCGTCATGGGTCCGTCAACCAGTCTGGTATATTCTTTCGAAACCAGTGGCCGACTTCATAAAAGGTCGTAACCACTAACAGTTTTATAAAGCAACTTGCGGATGGAACCAAATGACGTTTTTTACCCGCTCTCCACTGGTGGAGGTGGGGGGTAGGGGGGGGGGTTACGCTAGCCTCTCGTAAAGCTTTTTCTGTAATATCTTATAAACCACTTTAGCCGTTTCAACACGGAACCTTTATATCTTCGGCTGCACCAATTTGACACACCTTGTGACCTGCTAAAAATTGGGTATGCTACGGTAGGTCGGCTGGAAATTTCCTTTTTGTTCAGCACATTTTGATGCCAGACATTGAACTACGGCAATCGCTTGCAAGAACTCGGCTTTTAAGCCTGTAGGTAGAGCGTCTATGAGCCATAGGCTATGCCGGCCGGCGTATGCCCACTATCAGTGCGGTGACCGGCTGCCCTACCTCCCCAGACATGAGCAACGTACTGAGGGTGCTCAACATGACGGTGACCGGCTGCCCTTACCTCCCCAGACACGAGCAACGTACTGAGGGTACTCAACATGACGGCAGTCAGTGTCGATGACTGCCACGATAGGATCCAGCGGTATCTGACTGGTGGAGCAGTACCCAAGCCGCCGCTGGATACATTCACCAACTTCGACGGCGGCTTCAGGAGAGGCGAAAAACTCTGCGTCGATTACAAGTCAAATGGCCAGGGCGTTTGCGATGTAAGTGGTAGTAGGCACGAAGCATGAGTTTTGTCTTTTTTTTTTTAGTAATACGCCCTCTGTCTTCACGCCTGTTAGTGTATCTATGCATTCGTCTGTCTGTATGGTCTGGTCTGGTCTGTCTGTATGTCTGTTGGTCTGTCGGTCTGTCGGTCTGTCAGTCTGTCTTCTGTCGGTCTGTCGGTCTGCCTCTCTCTCTCTCTCTCTCTCTCTCTCTCTCTCTCTCTCTCTCTCTCTCTCTCTCTCTCTCTCTCTCTCTCTCTCTCTCTGTCATCCCTTTTCTCAATCTCTCTCCTCTGATATTCACTTTTGATGCGGGATATTTGGATGTTTCGTTCAGGGCCGCGGAGTCGATGAATAAGGTGACTCCGACTCCGACTCCGACTCCAGCTTCAAAAATCGACTCCGATTCCGACTCCAGCTTCAAAAATCGACTCCGACTCCGACTCCAGCTACTTTTTTTCTTAACCCGTGCATGACTGGGGGGGGGGGCTCTACAGAGCCTCCCTCCCGTATTTCGGCAATATCTTCAAAACCACTCATCGTATGGACACGAAATTTGCGGTACCTTCAGCGGCATCAGTTTGACACCTTGCGTAAAAATTTCAACCTTCTAGCCACCATAGGTCGGCCTAAAATGACGTCATAGTGACGTCACCTTGGCCGATTTCTATGCAAAATATTGAACTACGGTAATCACTCTCAAGACCTCAGTTTTTAAGCTTTTTAATTTCTTAATTCTTTGCATGAGTGGACTTAGAGTAAATATGTCTATCAAACTACCATCTTGAATGTTTTCAAATTTTGAAAGTTGTGAAAAATATACATATACAACACCAAAAATGTTTTTTTTCAAAAAGTTTTTGACTTTTCGAAAAACAAACGGAATATATCACTGTAATAAAACACCCGTCGATGACCTACTCTAGAAAGTTTTAGCCCAATATCTTAAAAACTGGCCAAATTATAAGCATTACCTATAGTAAAAATTTCACAATTACCTAGGTATAGATTCTCAAATAATTTCTAAGTGCGTTTTTGACATCGTACAACAGTGTAAATAGCACCATCGTGTTCCTTAGCTCAAACTGCATCTGATAGGTACTTTTTTGTTGAAAACATTCGTTTTTAAAATTTGACCTTTGTTGACCTGACGGCTGAATGATCTTCATTTTGGATCTTTCTGAACCACGGGACATCAATTAAATGCCAATTCATTAACTTTTTTGAAGGTGGGAGGGTCGGCTTTAACTTCAACTCCGGAGCCGGAGTCGGTAAGATTTTGGTGACTCCGACTCCGGGCGGAACTGTCGACTCCGACCGACTCCAACTCCGACTCCGACTCCGACTCCGCAGCCCTGGTTTCGTTTCTGTAGCTATTGCTATGACGTACCGTTGCTGATTTCTAACCATTACGACACGATGACCTCTGTGTGACGGCCTGTCGCTGCCGTTGTACCACACTCCGGCAGGGCGACTCCGGGAGCCCGCTGCTGGAGTTTGGCCAGTTCCGGGTGGTCGGCATCGTCTCCACCACCATCGGTCCCTGTGCCCTCTCCATTATGCCGGAGCTGTACACCAGAGTCAGCACCTACCTGGACTGGATCAAAAACGCCACCACCATACCGGGCCAGGAGACAAAGACGCACCACTGCCAGAACCCCTTCGTCGCGGCCGACTAATGCAGACACACCGGCAAACCGGAAACTGACATGGGTACCAGCGATGGCCGATCTGGCGTCAAAGCTCTCAACGCCAATTCCAAGAGCACCATGCTTATTCTGAAATGTACGCTCAGTTTATGCACTGGGTTATGGACGAAAATAAAGAGCAACTGCGTATATCCACGCCTCCTGTTTTTCTCTGTTCGCGAAGGAATGTTCAGCCCTGGTCTCGGATGACTGGCAGATAGCTCAGTCATCATTTTACCTGTTTCGGGACGGCCGTCACCATGCACCCATGGGCTCTGAATGTCTTCCACCCGCAGGCTAGGACAACTCCCGCTCCTTTCTAGCGGCATACAGTGTGCGACCCCTACCGGTTTACCTGACCTGACCTGACCTGACCTGACCTGACCTGACCTGACCTGACCCGACCTGGTCTAAACGCTTAACCTTCGCCCCAGTGGGGGGGGGGCATATGTTACCACCCTGTCGCGTTTTTTTCGTATAAATAAAAAACCGCGGCGCGTAGCGCCGCGCCGCTTGGGGTAGCTTTTAGTACATCAATTTTGGACAATGTGTGAAATTTTTTACCCCAGGTCATGACAGGTCAGGTCACCAGGTCAAGTTAACTAACCAAGCCTAAAAAAGTTTGCTATCATGTCCAGCCTGCAGTGTTTGTCAGAGAGGTTTTTAACTTGGTGGATTACATGATGTTATGGGTGCCTACAATTTGTATATCTCGGATTTTTTATATGCGTGACCTAAGGTCAGGTCAGTGGCGTGACCTTTCCATTATAAGTCAATGGAGAAAAACGAAAATGCCTCTAGATCCGTGTGTACGCATAGGAACAGTCCAAATATTTCAGGATTATAATGATTTGGACCACCCGTGACGACCAAGGTGTCTCTTTTGCTGATAGCCTCTTGAAAGGTCATCCGAGGTCATTTGGGGCTACAAACAGTTTTTTGCCAATAACTCTCGATTGGAAAGAGATAGGACGCTGGGGTTGGCCTCATTGTGTTTGGCTTGCCGAGACGCATCGACTGATATGCAACATGACCTTTTCCGATCAGGTCATGACCAGGAACATGATTCTGGCATTAGAAATGACCTAGCTTTTTTTTAGTCAAAAGTTATTGTCGAAAAACACTTTTCGTAAAAACAGCTATTTTTGGAGTTTTTGCCCTCTGGAGGCTAAACCGTTGACCTGAGGTCATTTTGTATGATAACCTTATCAAAAGAAGAGTTCAAAAGCTATCGATTGCTTTTCCGGCAGCGTTTTTCTAGCTATCATAGTTCCTGAGATAATGGCATGTTTTCTGAAAAATGTAATGACAATTAGCAAATTTTGACCTTTGATGACCTCTGGTGACCCTAATATTGCTCTAAGATGAAAAATGACCAAATACTTTCAAACGTACGCATCAAGAGCTATCGACTGCTTTTTACCGCGTCTTTCTAGCCGTCTTAGTTTTTGAGTTAGAGGTGGGTGGTAACATATGCCCCCCCCCCCCCCCACTAGGGCGAAGTTGGCTGAGACCGCCACTGGGGCGCGGGTTAACGACATCATCTGTGATCAAAACCAACACGATACTCGTGATCAGCACCCCGGAAAACCCCGTAGCAGCCACGCTTTACGACTTTCTAACAGGTCCCGATATTCCCGATTTTTGGGTCATTGACCTGACCTGGAAGGTCAGCCGATGACCTAGGACCTTAAAATTGGGTTTCATTGGCTTCGTATCGTGACGGGCAACACGCTCGTTTTTCCGCGAAGCTCTAGCTCCATCAGGGGCCAAACGCGAGGGGGGGGGGGGGGATCGCACCAACTTGTGCCGTCAAAGGACTCAAAATGGCCTGTGCTGGCGAGGCTTAAAAATTCGAAGTAAAAGTTCGGTACCCTCAGGGTATTTAACCCTCGCACGACCAGGCCATTTCTCATAACACGAACGACCAGGGGGGGGGGAGGTTGTTACGACCCCCCCCTGGCGTTTCGAAACGGAAGGTCGTAGAGCTTAGCGGAAAAAACCAACGGATTGCTCTCAACGAGATCTCGCGATTGGTGGTATATTTTTTGGTCCTAGGTCAACATTTGACCTACTTTTGACCGGTCAAAGGTCAAATTTTCGGAAAAATAGACTTTTTTTCAACTTTCCGCGGCGATTGCGGCAAAACGGTGGGAGATATCGACTTGAAACCTTCACTATCGTGTTCCTTGATCAATTCTCTATCGTTTGGTATGTATTTCGTTTCCCTAGCTCTAAAAATGGCGCGTTGGGAGCGCCGGAAGTCGGCAAGGTCACAGTCGGCGGCAGAAATTCGAAAAATCAAAATTTAAATTTTTGAAATCTGATTGTATTTTTGGATTTGGAAGGTCCATTTGCTCCTTATAGAAGCTAATATTGCTGCATATTCCCATTGAGGTGACAAGAATTAGCAAAATAGTGGTTCGGGCGCTTTTCAAAAATAGTACCGGACGCTGTTCCTCTTATGACGTCATAACTCCGTGACCTGACCTGACCCGGTCAATTTTCTTGCACCACACGATAGCCAATGCTTGCCCCAACATGCATGGGAAGTTTCATCATGATCCATCAAACAATGTGGGTATCACCGGCAGAAAACCTAGGGATTCGGCGCACACGTTTGGTAACTGTCGGCCGGAGGCTGTACCTCTTATGACGTCATAACTCCGTGACCTGACATGACCCTATCAATTTTTTTCGGCAAAAGATGCGCAAAGGTTGCCCCAGAGGGTATTGAAAATTTCAGCCCGCTACGACAAGCCGTTTAGCGTGCACTTCGAAAAAACCTCAGGGGGGGGGTTGATACAACCCCCCCCTAGGCGTTCTAGGGTTAACCCTCGCACGACCAGGCCATTTCTCATAACACGAACGACCAGGGGGGGGGGGTTGTTACGACCCCCCCCCCTGGCGTTTCGAAACGGAAGGTCGTAGAGCTTAGCGGAAAAAACCAACGGATTGCTCTCAACGAGATCTCGCGATTGGTGGTATATTTTTTGGTCCTAGGTCAACATTTGACCTACTTATGACCGGTCAAAGGTTAAATTTTCCGAAAAAATCAAACTTTTTTCAACTTTCCGCGGCGATTGCGGCAAAACGGTGGGAGATATCGACTTGAAACCTTCACTATCGTGTTCCTTGATCAATTCTCTATCGTTTGGTATGTATTTCGTTTCCCTAGCTCTAAAAATGGCGCGTTGGGAGCGCCGGAAGTCGGCAAGGTCACAGTCGGCGGCAGAAATTCGAAAAATCAAAATTTAAATTTTTGAAATCTGATTGTATTTTTGGATTTGGGAGGTCCATTTGCTCCCTATAGAAGCTAATATTGCTGCATATTCCCATTGAGGTGACAACCCAGCTAACAGGAAACGTTACTACAACGTTGTCACAACGTCGTGTTTCGGTAAGTTGCGAAATTACGTTTTAATTACGTTGTAGCAACGTTCTGAACGTTGTGAAGCCATGGTTTGGTCCGAAAGTCGTGGTAAAACGTCGTGACAACGTTTTATTGGTACGTTGCAGCAACCGCGCACTTGCAGCATTCTATTTTGATAATGCATGGTGACATATATGGCCATATAATGCATTTCCTTTGACTTTCAATGCGCATATTAAGCTTTCATCGTTAAATTTGACATATTTTAACACTTGGACTGTTCACGTTGTCAGCTGGTGGTCGCCAACACGTTGTTAAAACGGTTTTTCACAACCTTGACATTATAGGTACTGAATAATTAGCGGTGTTTTTACAAGTAAATTCTGATACCTTTCTCTCTCTATCTCTCTTTAACCCTCGCCCTGGCAGGGCATTTTTCATAACACGGCCTGGCAGGGGGGGTCGATGCGACCCCCCCTCGCGATTGGCTCCTATGGCACCTAGAAACACCAAATTTGGTAGGTAGGTGGGCCCCCTGGAGTTCTCGCCCCTGTGCAAATTTGGTTGCTCTAGGTCAATATTTAGGGGGGTTTTGGGGGGTATAAATGTAAAAATTTCGCTAAAAACAGGTCAAAAGTTTTTCGCTTATAACTTTTGATCTAATTAAGATAGAGCAAAAAGAAAAGCACCAGTGAACTCAGCACGTCAAGGCGCGTCGAATGATATACTTTTTAGCTTGCTTAAGTGTACCTAAAGTTTTTCTTAAATTTTAAGTAAACTTAAATTAATAAATTAAGTTAAAGTTAACCAAATTGCATCATATCGCATATCATTCGATTCGGCTGATCACCACGAACACAATGATACCATTTTTGAAGCTCTAGCGTCATTATGTGCCAAGTTATTGGCAAAAACGTCATTTGACCTCAGTTGACCTCATTTGACCTGACCCATGGATAAATACACCAAACAAAGAAGCACCAAGTGACCTGCTGTTAAGTATACTGTGGTTTGAAAGCACAAAAGTGATAAAACGAAGCGGATATCTCCAGTATTTTCCGAATTTAGTATTTTCCCATAGGCTTAACATTACGACGTAATGACCTCTAACTGACCTCAGGTCAGTGACCTCAAAAAACCCGAACTATATGTTATACAACTTGGTGAACTTAGCACATCCTGAAAGTTTGAAGGAAATCAGTGCAAAACTGTGAGTTGGACAGGTGCAAAAAGAAAATTGAAATTTGACCATGACCTTGTACCGGTTTTTCTGACCTGGTGACCTGACCCAAGGTCACCCGGACCTGAAATTTTCAGGTCATATGTAAAAAGGTTGCCCCATAGGCTGTGCCAAATTTGGCGGCGCTGCGCGCAGCCGTTTTTACGCTATCTTCGAAAAACCTTAGGGGGGGGGTCGCATCGACCCCCCCCCCTGCCAGGGCGAGGGTTAATATATATATATATATATATATATATATATATATATATATATATATATATATATATATATATATATATATATATATATATATATATATATATATATATATATATATATATATATATATATATATATATATTTGTGCCGCTACTAGATAGTACGTAGAGGGCCTGTTGTAGCCCGCTCCAGCACCGTTTTCGCCAAATGTTTACTCTGTGGCTAAAGAATATAGTCGGATCGCTAAGGCAGTTTATCGCATTATTCCGTTTCGAAACAGTTCGCTATAGTACTTAGAAACGTCAGATCGAGGGCTCTTGTCAGGTATTCAGGTGCCTGCCTGACAAGTAGGCTGTGCCGCAGAGCACGGGTGTACTGCGGGCTGCCTGATGACTGTGTTGTTTACGCCCAATGCCTGTACTGACGATGGTACAGCATTTTAATCAAAATCCTTAGTGGCTGCCTGACAAGTAGGCTGTGCCGCAGAGCACGGGTGTACTGCGGGCTGTCTGTCGACTGTGTGATTTGCGCCCGTTGACTGTACCGACGATGGTGCGGTAAATTAATGATATATCCACCGTATTTTATTGCGGATGCATAGGGCTAGGTGGGGTAGTTTGCACCTGGTGGATACAGCCGAAATTGAATTTCCAGGAAACCGGAGGACCATGCTTGTTTCTGCTCGTTGTGTGTAGATGTGTATTTTGCGATTCGCCTTGTTTTGTCTTTGCTGCGCCAGAAGCAGATATGGCTTGCCAGAGTTAACTTCTGAGGCAGACTTTAGCAATAAAAAGTCGAAACGTCACTTATTAGTTTGTTCGCTATATTTAATCTGGCATAAGTTTGTTGCATATATATATATATATATATATATATATATATATATATATATATAAATATATATATATATATAACATGTGCAAATTGCAAAGCGTCATTGGCATGTTTTGCAACATCACAGGCAGAGCTACAGGCTTGCAACTATCCCTATGTAAACGCGGCTGTTATCCGCGGCTGCCAGCAAGCCACGCGGGCCGCCACTCAGGCGAACGGTGGCTCGCGCCCTGACCTCGCCTGAGGGGCCGTGACGTCAGTGTCACCGGCCGGCGTTCAGAGCCAGCCGGCCGAGCCGCAGTGTACGCGGCGCGAGCGAGCAGCGAGGGCCGGCGGCGGGCGCGGCTGAGATAGCTGGAAGATAAAGATAGCGCCAGTTGTCTGCGTTTGAGGCGATTGTTGCTTTGACTGGTAATTACCATTTACGAGTAGCATTTGCAAGATTGTGCCTTGAAATATCGTGCGGTCTAGGCTATAGTTCATTGTAGCTCTAGCCTCTAAGGTGTTGACATGTTTGATCTAGCCTGTCGCACTGTTACGGAAAGTGGTGCAGGTATTTTTGTGATTTTTTCATGAATTGAATGTCTGATTTTCCCTCATGTCTTCCCGCAGACGTCCTGCAACTCGTCAGCGCGCCTTGTGGCAGGCCTACTGTCGGCAATGCGGTAGCGAAGTGGCTGTCCGGAAGCTGCGACCGGAACGGGGGGTGCGCAGACCGTCTAGTCAAGCACTGCCAGCTGCCTAGGGACATCGAGGCCGCAAATGAGCCGATGCCTAACGGTCCGCCGAGTGATCCTCCCAGCGAGGGTTAGTGAAGAAGTGAAATTCCACCAGTTCTGGAGTGCTAGCGGCTAGCGCCAGAGCCGGTAGAACCCAATTCCGTCCCACGCCCCCATGGGGGCGCCCCTGGGCCCCATGCCCATCACCGATGCCGCCGCTGTCGTTTTTTTTTTTGTAAATTGACCTGTGTGATGTATTGAAATATACACTTCTTACATGCCTTTTTACAAGTCTAGAGAACGGGAAGAGAGCGTCGGAAACACATTCTGAGTATGTTGCGAACACGTTGAGAGGACGTTGCGAAAATGTTTAGGACGTTTACTCAGGGTCGCAGGGACGGCAATACGAAGTAGCGACAACGTGGTGCGTACGTGACAAAAACGTCGCAGAGACGTTGCCAAAGCGTTCTATACTCCTTGTAGTCACGTTGCGGAAACGTGGTGACAACGTTCCAGAAACACTGTTGGTACGTTACAGAAAACATTTCATAACGTTGGCGGGACGTTGTAAGAACAGTTTTGGGACGTCACGGCCACGTTACAGAAACGTTGTGATGACATTCAAATGCATGGTCGGATGACGTTGTCACGCCGTTGTCTGGAGTCTACAAAATTACGTTGTCACAACGATAAATCGGGACGTTGTGGTAACCATTTGACAACGTTTAAACGACGTTGTAACAACGGCAAATTGTTGGCTGGGAAGAATTAGCAAAATAGTGGTTCGGGCGCTTTTCAAAAATAGTACCGGACGCTGTTCCTCTTGTGACGTCATAGCTCCGTGACCTGACCTGACCCGGTCAATTTTCTTGCACCACACGATAGCCAATGCTTGCCCCAACATGCATGGGAAGTTTCATCATGATCCATCAAACAATGTGGGTATCACCGGCAGAAAACCTAGGGATTCGGCGCACACGTTTGGTAACTGTCGGCCGGAGGCTGTACCTCTTATGACGTCATAACTCCGTGACCTGACATGACCCGATCAATTTTTTTCGGCAAAAGATGCGCAAAGGTTGCCCCAGAGGGTATTGAAAATTTCAGCCCGCTACGACAAGCCGTTTAGCGTGCACTTTGAAAAAACCTCAGGGGGGGGGTTGATACAACCCCCCCCCCCCCCTAGGCGTTCTAGGGTTAAGACTTATATCAAGGAATGCGTAGACCAAAAATGAGCCTGATCGGACTTGTCAGCCGGTGGCCAGAGCCTAAAATGTGAACAAGCAAAAATGCTGAATTTTTTTTCTTTGACCTGACCTGGTCACCTGTTACGTCATCAGTGACCTCGGGATCAATGAAAATAGGTTTCACTCGACAGTTTCTTTTCCAGAGCTATTAGGCGCCGTTTGAATTTTGACGATCGGCTCTGTAGTTTTGGAGATAGGAGGGGGGCTCTGGAGAGCCCCTCCCCCCAGGCACTCGCGTTATGGAAAATACCCCAGTCATGCGCGGGTTAATTGTCAGATCGTTCTTGGAACATTGTTTCAGCGTTTTTGGCAGGGCTGCGGAGTCGGAGTCGGAGTCGGAGTCGGAGTCGGTCGGAGTCGACAGTTGTGACCGGAGTCGGAGTCGGAGTCGGAGTCGATTTTAGAAACCCGTGCTGGAGTCGGAGTCGAAGTCACCGAAAATCTGTGTCGACTCCGCAGCCCTGCTACGTCTGCGGAGTCGGAGTCGGGAGTTGGAGTCGGTCGGAGTCGACAATTCTGCCCGGAGTCGGAGTCGGAGTCGGAGCTGGTTTTTGAAAGCCGGAGTCGGAGTCGGAGTCGGAGTCGCCGAAAATCCATCGACTCCGCAGGCCTGGTTTTTTGGAGCGCTACGATTACGATTCAAAAACGTTGTGGAAACATTAATTTGGAGGATAGGTACCGGCGGCGCTACCATAGCATGCTTACGCTCGGCTCATCGGTATCACAACGTGCTCCGGATTCCGCAAAACATCGCTGTCACGCCATATCTTCCACGCTGTGACAACCATCTAACAATCTTGTAACAGCATTGTTACCGGACCCACGTCAAACTGTTAGGTCGGTCCCCCTCCACTATAAGTTGCCATAAACTCCGCCAGTTGGCAGTTACCTCTATAGTATTTATGGTATATATAATTATATATACAAGTACGGGCAGTTCATATGTTTCTGTAGTGTTTTCATATACTTTGGTTTCTGTGATGAAAAAATGTAGAAGCAACACAATAATATATAAATCAATTTATTTCGTAGCTGCCGTGAACACCACCACAAAACTCAGAATCATGCACGCACCGCACATTCTACCAACAGCACACATTCTGAACAGCGCACACGTTTAGAGCGCACAGTGCACACATCCCTGTGGTTTGGCAGACATCACGAGACGTGTAGATATGGTCGCAACAATAATGCCCTCTATTTCCCTGAACGATCAGCTTGGTCCCACGTTGGCATCAGTGATATTAACAAGGTCATTGCCAAGTTCCGCGAAAGCTCCACCATGAAGGTGTAATATATAAATATACCTACAAACGAGTCCAACATGACCTCATGAGTCCCGACACGCAGCGCCACGGATCGAGTGGCCTGATACATTTGAAACACCATTTACAAAATCACACGCGAGCTAACAGGACACGTAAAACGAGGAGCGGAGTGGTAAACAAATCACCAATCCATATATGAAACAATCATATCTACAAAAATATATAACACATATCTGCCTCGAATGATTTACGCCAGCCACTTATCATCATACAAATGCCCATCTGTTGCACATTTAGTCGCCATTAGACACGCAGCTACCATTAGTTTCCCTGTTACATAGCGACAAACCGAATTCATACATTACACCACTAAAACGCATCACATTAAAGCATTCCCTCACATCCGTGTGGACGGTTTAATGTACTTTGATTACTTGGTCCCGGCACCGGACGCATTACAGAGTCAGCGAGATTGGCTCCGGCTGGGTCGGTAGACTATACAGGGAGACGGCTGACCCAGGGACCCTACAGGGAGACGGCTGACCCAGGGACCCTGTGCGTATACAGGGAACCGGCAGACCTAGGGACCCTGTACAGGAAGACGGCTAAGGCCAGGAAGGTGTAGGCCCACCAGCGGCAGCCGCTGCCGGCTGTGGAAGGCAGTGGCGTCCCCAGGTGAGAAGGACAGCAACAGCGACACAGGCTCTGTGCGTACCGCACAGGACCGTCCAGCAAATGCAGCATGACCCCTGACTAACCTGAGCGGCTCAGCAGAGAACGACAAAGACAAACTTTAGATGTACTGATTTTGTAGCATGTTCTGCCCTAAGGACTTGTTCCAACTATTTCAAAAGATCAAACAACATAAAACTGTCTCTGGTAGATTCGCAATTCGCAACAAAATGTACAAACTTGTCAGGTCTTTTACAACATACCAAACAAAAAGTTAAAGTGGAATATTCAATATGGTCATTGATTTGGAAATTTTTGGAAAGATAGATCACTTGACTAAAACCTTTTGTAGTCAAAGTTGGAACTTTAGATTAGGTCCCTTCCCGCAGCTCGGACAATGTTTTTTACTCTCGGCGCCGTAAATATGAGCTGCCCATCTGCAGCTGCTCAAACTCGGGCAAATAAGGCACGTGGGCTCCCAGGGAACATCAATAGATTGATAGCGCCGCGTTCTGACGATCGATCCCCTTATTCCGCTCCCGAAGACATCGGGAACTTCTGACAAGGCCTTCAACATTTGTCATGCTACATGTTGTTGTACATGCATCCAATCTCCCGGTGCTGAGCATGAAAATTCAGGGAGATAGTTTTCTACTTTCTACAACATCATTCGCAACAGCCCAAGGAAGACGTATATCACACATGCTTCAATGAAAAGATATTGACAAAATTCAGAAGTTACTTTTACGCACAGCCTTTATATGCAATCTCAGGGGGCATCTATCTCTTGCTCAATGCCCAGTCACTCTCATGAGACTAAGTCTTCCCAGTTACAACAAATTCTCCTCCTAAGCTGCACAGCTCCCCTACGGCACCCACATTTCCTAGGCGGTGCAGTGTGTCGACTGGCTCCTCCCCACCATTTCCCCTATGAGGGGCACACCGCGGTGCCCCCTCCCCTCCCCTAAGCGGCACACCGCGGTGCTGCCCCCTCCCTCTCCCCTAGGCGGCACACCGCGGGGCCGCCACTCCCCTCCCCTAGGCCGCACACCGCGGGGCCGGACACCCCCGGACCGAGTCGGCCGGGGCCGGCTGGAAGTCGCCGGAGCGTCGCCGACGCATTGCCAGCTGGAACAGCGCGTAGGCCGCGGCAGCGAACAGCGCCACACCGGCGAATATCCGGAACGCCACCCGGTGACCGAATCGCGCCACCAGGTACCCTCCGAGCTGAGCGCCCACCGCGCGACCTGCGGCAGCGCAGAGAGGGGGGCGCGGTCAGAGGGAGGCGGGGTCAATTGGGGGGGGGGGGGGGGGCAGTGTCAGCGAGAGGGTCAGGCGTCAGCGAGAGGGTCAGGGGTTAGCGAGAGGGGACAGTGATCATACTAGCGGCGAACTGGAGGGGCGAAGGTCAGTGGTGAAAAAAGGCGTAACAAATAAGCTCGAATGGAGCTGCAGAGGTTTGCTGGCAAAGGTGACCACTCCAGCTATCAGCTGATGCGAGGTTGACTGGAGAGCGGATGGAAGACGTAAGACGGATAGATGGATGGCGGAGATGGAATGAGTTCATCATTGGAAACATCATTTCCATACACCGGATGAATGAACACCGAAGTTCACACACTACATAAGCCGTTCTTTCAGAGTATCACGGAGCCCTCCGTCCCTTTACGGTAAACCACGCCCCTCCCATGAGTGGCGATGGCCGAGTGGCGGTGCCTCACCGCCGCCGAAGAGGAAGCAGCCGAGGATGCCGCGCACTGTGGCCACCAGCTCGGGCTCCACCTTGGAGGCGGCATACGTCACCACGGCCGCGTTCATCAGGCCGCTGTTGACGCCGTCCAGCGCCTCCAGCAGCAGGCTCAGGCTCGGGTCGACAATCAGCGAATAACCTGCCCCCAACAGTGAGACACTCGTCAGCATTGCTTCCATTATAAAAGGCGTGCTCAATTATACTAATTGATTTCTTGTTCATGCGGTAAAAACTCATTATTATTCGCACATTGTACAGTCATTACTGTCGGAGATTGACTGCACTGCTATTTTACTTATAGGATATCGTTAATCATTTAATGTTGATCCATTTATTAATAAAGTAATATATTTAAATATTTATTTATTCATTTAGTTAGTTAGCTCGTTATTTATTTATTTATTTATTTATTTATTTATTTATTTATTTATTTATTTATTTATTTATTTATGTAATTATTTATTTATTTATTTATCTGTTGATCTATTCATTCACTTATTTATTTATCTATTTATTTATTTATGCATCTATTTTTTATTTCTTCATTCATGTATTCATGTATTTATTCATTCATTCATTCATTCATTCATTCATTCATTCATTCATTCATTCAACCCTCAGGCTCGGGTCAACAATCAGCGAATAGCCCAAACAGTGAGACACTCGTCAATTATTTGATTAAATTGATTAAATTGATTATTAAATTCATTCATTCATTCATGATGAATTCATTCATTCATTCATGAATGAATGAATGAATGAATGTAGGTATACAATTCAATGAATGCATGTATACATTCATTCATTCATTCATTCATTCATTCATCCATTCATCCATTCATTCATTCATTCATTCATTCATTCATTCATTCATTCATTCATTCATTCATTCATTCATTCATTCATTCATTCATTCATTCATTCATTCATTTATCCATTCATCCATTCATCCATTCATTCATTCATTCATTTATGGACGGTTCGCCCACTACTGCATTTCATTTCCATCAGCCATCCATTCGGTCCATGCCGATAGGCGCTTCCAGGGGTATATAGGGCCTTGCTTCCAGGTTCTAAGCGCCTTCGAGCGGCGCCACCTACCTATCAACCTGACGGCGTAGATGACCATGCCGAGCACGATCAGGCCGACCTGGCCGACGGCGCTCATACAGAGTCCCGACACGGAGAGCATGACCAGCTCTACAGCGCTGCCGACCGTGATGGTGGTGCCGATCAGCGTGCCGCTGGCGCCCAGCTGCGACAGGAAGACGTAGCTGAACGTCTCGATGTGGCCCACGGCCATCCCTGCGGCGCAGAGCGGAGAGACGGTCAGAGGCGGGCAGGGAGGCGGATAGAGAGGCGGTCAGAGACACGGACATCGAGAGACGGATAGAGAGACGGTGAGGCTGAAAGTCAGCGCGTTGGAATGCGTTTTTACTTTAGCGGAAGCAGACCGGCATATTTCACGACTCTCTTTATACATATGGCTTTCATGTCATCTCGCATGTTTCGCCATTATAGGACGTATGCACATACATACACTTGGTTTTATAGTGTGCATGTTCATTGTTCTTGTCATGTTGTTTTTCGCGTATTTATGTTACGCAATTTTAATGTGTGACTTCGTCGTTAATTGGGGCTAACCTGTAGACGATATGCAGCTAAATAAGATAACATAGAGGAGCGGACAGAATAATGTCGGAAGGGCGGTCCAATGGGTCGAGACAGCGGCAGCGGAAACGGCAGAAGGACCGCTAGAAAGGCATATAGAGAGGTCAGAGAGGACAGATAGATCAGAGAGAAGATTGCGAGAGACGACCAGATGAGTTTTAAAAGGATCTTTTTGTTTTTAAATCTCACCCATTCTAAGATAATCATTACTTTTACATCCATGACTTCCCCTACACGGCGAAGATGACCACGAATAACCTCGGTTCAGACTGCCAATGGGCACTTTCTAATTGACACAAAGAAATGAGTTATGGCCGTGGCGAGACTTCCGTGATAAGTGCCGCGTTATTTGTGGGATTAGGCTGCAGCTCGTATAAGTAGCCGGTCGGGCCGGTGAGCCCGGTCGTCGGTAGCTGACGTAAACAGGATCAAAGCATTATCAGCTGTGTACCTCTTCATGTTTGGACTATGGACCGCACAAGGCTATGATCAGGTCTCTCTGCGGACTTGGACAACACGGGCACCGCAACAGCAGCTGTGGTTTGACACGGACCCAAAGACGTCTGATGTAGTTAAATCCCTGTAATTCGGCTACGTTCAAAGCCACCCCTGGACCCCGCGTCGAACGCTGCAGTTGGGTCACTGACTTTTGACCAGAAAGGTCACTGACCTCTGACCAGAAAGGTCACTGACCTGTGAGCAGCATCACCAGGAAGAGCACCGTGAGCTCTATCTTCTGGAAGAGTTTGATCGTGTACTTGAAGAGCGACCCGGAGGGACTGTGGCGGAAGCCGATGTTCACAAAGTAGAGTACCACCAGTGAGAGGAACCGAAACGCCGCCATCGTATAGAAACCGGGCCTGTGCACACAACGGGTCGTGGGGAACTGTTGTCAGTGATTCACTAAAAATGGGCTATGGGGCAATTGAACGATACAACATGAACATTTTGATAGGTACTGATTCACTAAAGAGATACCAGACACACTGAAAAATCAGTTTATCAGAGCGTCTTCATATTTCTAAGCTATAATAACAAAATGACGCTTCAGAAGAGGGTAAAAGCACTTGACACTTCAACGACTTGAATATCAAACACATTTGGCAGCTCGAAGGCAAGCCTTAAATCGGAAAAAAGCATCAACAAGCAAAACCAATAACATCGTCTATTCACATCATCCCGGGCCAAGGCCCCCACCCCTCCCCATTTCATCATAGCTCCATGGATCGTACCTCGGCGCCTCACCTGAATTCGATCATTCCGACGGTGCTGAAGAGGTCCATGATTTTTCCGGAGAGCGGCGAGACGATGAGCGCCGCCACGGTGCCCCACAGTCGCTGGAAGCCGTAGTCGACGCTGAACAGCGCGCAGTAGGAGAGCACAGTCGTGTCGATCAGCGTGTACGTGGTGCCCAGGCAGAACGAGTAGACCACGCGCAGGAAGACGTACAGCCACAGCGTCAGTGAGTGGCTCTGCCGGTCGTCCCGCGGCGCGCAGACCACGGAGAGCGGCAGCGCGTCGGCGCACTGCAGGCGACACGACTGGGCCAGGGCCGGCGGCGGGCAGGCCACGGGCCGCGCGCCGCCGCCGCCGGCCGGCACCGCGTGCAGCCGCGTCGAGTTGTCGGTGGAGTTGACCATCAGCACGCTGAGAGGTGCGCCCGTGGCCAGACTGGGCGGCGGGAACAGCACCGAGCAGCTGTGAGGGAGAGACGAAGACGCGTGAGCTGAGAGCACCGAGCAGCTAGACGTGTTACACGGACTGAACAAAGAAAACGGCATCAGTTACTGCACTCAGGCCACGACACTGTTCGGACTTCCGAGACCGTAACCGATCCCATAGTGTCGTTACAAATGCGAAATGGGCACATCAAACCAGCTTGTGGATGCACGTCCCTCCATCAAATACGTTCATCAAATATGGCGGGTCAGGAGGCACTCGCCTCTCCCACTTGGCCGGGTCAGGGGCACTCGCTCTCACCTGGCCGGGTCAGGGGCACTCCCCTGGCCGGGTCAGGAGGCACTCGCTCTCACCTGGCCGGGTCAGGAGTCACTCGCTCTCCCACCTGGCCGGGTCAGGAGTCACTCGCTCTCACCTGGCCGGGTCAGGAGTCACTCGCTCTCTCACCTGGCCGGGTCAGGGGGCACTCGCTCTCTCACCTGGCCGGGTCAGGAGTCGCCTGCTCTCACCTGGCCGGGTCAGGAGTCACTCGCTCTCTCACCTGGCCGGGTCAGGAGGCACTCCACTCTCACCTGGCCGGGTCAGGAGTCACTCGCTCTCTCACCTGGCCGGGTCAGGAGTCACTCGCTCTCACCTGGCCGGGTCAGGGGTCGTTGACTCTCACCTGGCCGGGTCGTCTCCGCAGTGCAGCTGGCCCACCGACGGCTGACTCCCGTTCACACTGTGACAGGACAGCCGGCACTCCCGCAGCGTCACGTTGAGCGAGGCCAGGCTAAAGTGCGGTTCACAGCTCTCCATGCGCCAGTTGATGTGCAGGTAGTCGTCCACGCAGTGGTGGTTCAGCGAAGCGTCGCCAGGCGGCACCACCTGCTGCACGGCCGGCGGCAGCAGCACCAGGCACACGCCGGCGACGCCCTCTATGAGCAGCGCCAGGCCCAGGTACATCTGCAAATGGGGAGGGGCGGGAGGTCAGTCCCTCTAGAGCAGCGTCAGGCCCAGGTACATCTGCAAATGGAGAGGGGCGGGAGGTCAGTACTCAGTCCCTTCATGAGCAGACGCCAGACAGACCCAGGTACGAGGAAGGAGGAAGGGAGCAGTCTCTCTGTACGTTGCGCGAGACCCATGCAGGCCTTCAAATGGGGAGGGGAGGGGAGGTAAATCCTTCTTAGCAGCGCGAGACCCAGGTTATACCAGAGGAGGGTAGGGGAGGGAAGGGAAGGGAAGGGGAGGGAAGGGATGGGAGAGGTCAGTCCCTCTGTGAGCAGCGCCAGATGCAGGTACGGACGCCTGCCGAAGGGAGGGGAGGCAGGCGCTGGTGTCGGGCATCCGCCAACGGAAGGGGAGGAGAAGGGAATGGGAGGTTGATACCATGCGCCAGTGCCTTCATACGTCATCCAATGAGGATGAGCCACTGAAAATTGCCGCCGTTAGACAGGGAGCAAAGCATAAGTCCGGCAGCGTCAACAGAGAATGGGCAGGTAATAAAGTCGGCTAAATCGACCGCAAGGAGAACCACTTTCGACGAGTGTCCAGCGTTATAGACACCCAAACGGACAGCGAATGGATCAGACAACGGAACGACTTTCCGCGGACCACGCTACTAAAAACGGTAGGGGAAGACTTGGCGCCTGTTCAGTCAGCGATTCATCAGTAGTCCCCACGTACTGACACACAATCGATTACCTGTTTTGTTGTTGGCACATGGTCAAAATGGATAAGCAGAACACCTTAGCCAGTGCAATTTGTATGCATTGCCTTCCACCGGCTGAATGCAGTCGGCGAGACAGGGAGAAGGCGGCGATAATCCGTATAGGCGGCACGGGCGGCACGGTGCATGGAGGGAGGAGCCTGATAGTCACCCCTGGACGGCACAGGACGGAGTGCAGGGAGAAGGTGGCCACTACCCCCTGAACGGTACGCGGCGCAGGACGGGGAGGAGGCGGGAAGGGAGAGCTGATAGTCTCTCTGGACAGCGCGGACTGAAAGGAGAGGGAGAGGATACGGTGGCCATGCTTCCCCCCTGAATGACACGGGACTGGGGACAGGACCGTCCCCCTGGACGGCACAAGAGAGACAAGGCCGGCCCGCGCTGCCCCGGCCAAACCACGAGGGTGGTCGAACGGCGCCGCGGAGCGACCAGCTTGGTCAATGGTCAGTCACTGGGTGACTGCATAGTCAAACTTCTGTTTGGGGACTGCGCGGCTGGACGGTAATGGGACTATAAGCCGTAACAGGAGTTTTAAAACAGAACAGCTGTAATTCGCGATAGCTATAGGTTCTGAAGGCTATAAAAGCAGGTAAGTTATCATTTGGATGTAGGTATAAATAACTCGATAGCGCTACGTATGAGACAAGAAGCAGCCGACATGACATCAGTCGATTTCATTATGGTGAGGGTACAAGAGGAACAATAGGGGCTGGCAGGTGAGAGATCGCCGCTTCACCGTCACCTGAATGCTACTCAGTAGTCAGGAACTCAGTATAGTGCCGGCCGGTTTATCAAGAATAGGCCATAAAATGTTACTATACGTCAAGCGAAACGACCGTCGACCAGCGATGACAGGAAACGGTTAAAAATCTGGGGGCCTGGACATCGTAACTAAACGCAGCGCTCACTTTATGTATGTAAATACATCAACATAAATAAAAGAAGCCTAAAACTTTGAATTCTGAAAAGTTAAGGCTGGTAGAAGTTTTGGTACAGCACAGGCACAGGGTAGGTGGTCATCTCTGACATTAGTGCCGTGATGATGATGATGTTTGTGTTTACGAAGTGCCCCCGGACCGGCCCGGTGACGGCGCCCGCTGCGCTGACCTTGAAGTTGCCCATCTTGTCGCCGATGTAGCCGGCGGAGAGGGCGGCCACGATGCCGGCCACGCCGCCCAGCATTACGATCAGGCCCGTCTCCTCGGCCGTCAGCCGCAGGTGCGCCATGTGCGTCGACATGTGCGGCCAGATAGTGACGATACCTGCGCACGTAGTGGGTCACACGTCACCAGCACAGCAATTGGAGTTAGCAATGGCGTCGAGTGGCGATGTTAGGCAAAAGTATGCAACCGACAACAAAACGTTATGAATTTTAAACACCTATGGATGTGTTTTCTCTGTCGTCAACCTCTTCTCTGTACCTTGTCTAAATATACGAGAGTTAAGAGTTATAATAGCAGCTATAGACCACTCATTCACTTTTATACTAAATAACAGTCTATGTGTTCGACTTATCGCATTATTAGATATGCACGTAAGACGTGTAAACTGTGCAAGCGTTTCGTCCCGCCACCGCGTATCTTTCCCGGGGAGACATTATCACCATGTGACATATTAACATCCCCTGATGTATCCCGCTAGATAAGTACGCAATAAGCACCCCACAGCCTCCCAAAGCCTCACATAGCCTGCCGTTACCGGCGCACCATTGACTGAGTACCCAAACATCTGACACAGCCGTCAACACAGGTCGGACACCGCGTCAACACACCGGCCGGCCGGACACACGTCACAGAGCAGTCGCCGCCCCACTTACCCTGACCTTGACACAGAACGAACGAACTTCAGCCCCCGGGCACCAAACATGTCATGTTGCAATGGCTCAGCTTCGTTTGGCCGACTGCCAAGTGGGTCACTGGGGTGCACCCCCGGGCGGAGCCCCCACCGGCAGGATAAGGTCCCCCGGCGCGCCCACCGGGGGCAGGGGGCAGTGTGGGGGCGCCCATTTGACCCAGAATGACACCACCGCATCGGCTGCCTCCTCTCATTACAAATTATAATTCTACTCAGTCCTTCCGGCTTGAAGTGGTTTCAATCCCAACCCTCTGCCGAATACCATGGGAGTTTTACAAGGGCCCATCCTAGCTCCGCTTTTATTATTTTCGTCAATGACTTCAATCTGCGAGCCCCGCGGACGTCCATGTGACTCCTGGAATGCTGACGATAAACACAAGCCTTAATACGATGCTACTGAAATTTCTCACTCATTTCAACTTATGGAAAATAAAGGTACCTACCCTCACATCCCTTTTGTCCTTCTCTCAATATTATGGTTCCTCGATGTTTTCGAAACTGAACCCGTGCCTAAACCCTGGCACCGAACTGAACACCCGCTATCTCTCCTAAAGCAAAAGTATCAACGGTTAGATAGCATGGCATGAGATTCATTAAATATCATTAAATGTAAAATGGGAAAGATCTTCAACGTTGTTCACTTCTCATCTCATGGGAATCAGGTGCATTGGCTGTTGTGCCCCAAGTGTAATGATGGTCACTGTCCTCAGAGTATTTCCTTCCGCATAAGCGCTTCCCATCATCCATGGTAATCGCATACAACTATCTCCCAATATGGCTAATGTAATGTGATAAAAAATGCGAAAACAAAAACCGTCCTGTTGCCAACAGTACTCGGCTGCCAAACTATAGGTACCTACCTACTTTTTGCGGCGCGTGTGAAAGGACCGGTCTCTGGCGGTTTGCTGCTGTCACCCCTCCTCACCTGCCAGTTCCATGAAGAACAGGAGTTTGATGGGCAGCATCCTGACATCGAGCAGGTCGGCAACGAAGGCCTTCAGGTGGTCCCACGCAATGGCCCATAGGTGTTTAGCTGGAAAAGAACACAAACCATGGTTAACCCTCGCACGACCAGGCCATTTCTCATAACACGAACGACCAGGGGGGGGGGGGGGTTGTTACGACCCCCCCTGGCGTTTCGAAACGAAAGGTCGTAGAGCTTAGCGGAAAAAACCAACGGATTGCTCTAAACGAGATCTCGCGATTGGTGGTATATTTTTTGGTCCTAGGTCAACATTTGACCTACTTTTGACCGGTCAAAGGTCAAATTTTCGGAAAAATAGACTTTTTTCAACTTTCGGCGGCGATTGCGGCAAAACGGTGGGAGATATCGACTTGAAACCTTCACTATCGTGTTTCTTGATCAATTCTCTATCGTTTGGTATGTATTTCGTTTCCCTAGCTCTAAAAATGGCGCGTTGGGAGCGCCGGAAGTCGGCAAGGTCACTGTCGGCGGCAGAAATTCGAAAAATCAAAATTTAAATTTTTGAAATCTGATTGTATTTTTGGATTTGGGAGGTCCATTTGCTCCCTATAGAAGCTAATATTGCTGCATATTCCCATTGAGGTGACAAGAATTAGCAAAATAGTGGTTCGGGCGCTTTTCAAAAATAGTACTGGACGCTGTTCCTCTTGTGACGTCATAGCTCCGTGACCTGACCTGACCCGGTCAAATTTCTTATACCATATGATAGCCAATACTTGCCCCAACATGCATGGGAAGTTTCATCACGATCCATCAACCGATGTCCGTACCACCGGCAGGAAACCTCGGGCGTTGGCACTCAGTTTGTGAAAATCCGGCCGGAGGCTGTACCTCTTATGACGTCATAACTCCGTGACCTGACATGACCCGATCAATTTTTTTCGGCAAAAGATGCGCAAAGGTTGCCCCAGAGGGCATTGAAAATTTCAGCCCGCTACGACAAGCCGTTAAGCGTGCACTTCGAAAAAACCTCAGGGGGGGGGGGGGTTGATACAACCCCCCCCCCCCCCTAGGCGTTCTAGGGTTAATTCCGGCTACTTAGTGTCAACTGTTCCTCGATGGACAACAGTACAAGACGCACTACATGAGTTGGAACCGGTCCCTGACGATATTTTGAATCCAGTGATCGTTACCAAACCGGTTGACCGACTATGATTGACTCTATTGCCAAAACTACCAACAAATTAGCACACCTATCCGTGCTTCTATCCTCAGGATACTGAAATCCTTCTCCTCCACGCCACAACCCTCCTCCGGGCTGGACAGGCAACTTTATCTCATGCGGGCTGCTCCCTTGGAGCGGCACCGCTGCTCCTGAGGGAGCGCACCCCGTAGCCGGGTGCAGTGAGTGCCTTGGGGCTGGGTGGCCTGTCCTCTGGACGGGTTCAGCCCCGGCGACTCACTAGGGTGCCTGCCCAGACCATTGTCTCCCCCTAATTCCTATCATCCTTCCGGCTCTGCAATGGTCTTGTCGACCGAAAGGGCCTAACCCAACTAAACAAACAAACAAACAAAACAAATTAGCGTCAGCTTTTGCCTCGTATGATGAAAATGTTCCATTGCGGTTGTCCAATATGGACGCCAACACACCAAACGATGAGGAACAAAATAGTGCGCTCTTAATTCATGTCCAGCGTTACGTATGTAATGTGCGTTTCAATACCGCTCTCATGCAGCAGCGAGGACACGCGTTTGATGTGATAACTACCCACAAGGCTTCTAACGGAAGGCACTCACGCTGTGCCAGTCCATAAGATGCTGAATGCCCACGAGAAAGGTAAGCCATGGGTGTAATATTCACCCTTTTGTTTATAATCAACAATTAATAGGCATAATTATGGTAAACAAGACAGTTACGGAAATGCACTTTCAGTCAGTAGCGGCGGAACACCTTCAATTAGGGGGGGGGGGGGCAATGCCGACTTTTGGTCCCATTCTTTCCATGCAACGCCCATACACTGTAAACCAAATTGACAAGTCTTGTGTAATATAACCAATCATCTCTTGGTATGTTTACCAACTGATACTTTTCAAACAAGCCGTTGTCTGGTGCATTGCTTGTCAGATGACAACTACGAGTCAATAGTTACTATGCACACTAACTTCTCAGTATCCAGACCAACTCTACATTTGTTTCAACGTTTGTTTCTTAACCAGTTTTGGAAACTTGTTGCCGCATGGTTATTTAACCCGCGCCCCACTGGGGTCTGCGTATAACACGCCCTACTGGGGGGGGGGGCTATTCATAGCCCCCCCTCCTAACTCCGAAACTACTGGGCCGATCGTCAAAATTCAAACGGCGTCTGATAGCCCCGGAAAAACTGTCGAGCGAAACCTAATTTCATTGACCTCGAGGTCACCGATGACGTCACAGGTCAAGTCAAAGTAAAAATTATTAGCATTTTGTCTTGCTCACGTTTTGGGCTCTGGCCGCCGTCTTACAAGTCCGATCAGGCTCATTTTTGGTTCACACACTCGTGAACAGATGTTCTAGATACCCTGAGGGTACCAAACTTGTACTTTGATTTTCAGGTCAAGGTCAGGTCATCACAGGTTACGAAAATATTATATCATGCCTCGGTCACGTGACACATGTTTTATGGGCCATTTGGGCCAAAGATTTCGGATTTGATGTCGTCTGTGTCATTTGAGGTCATTTTGAGTCGAATTTAGCTTAGCGTCAGGTCACTTTCAGGTCAAAAAAGGTCAAATTTTTAAGTTAAAATTTTTCAACAAAAAAGGTGTCTATTGGATGCAGTTTGAGCTCAGGAACACGATGGTGCTATTTATTTTGGCGTACGATGTCAAATACGTGCTGAAAAATTGATTTGAAAAATTAATAATTGTGAATTTTTTGCAATAATGCGTATAACTTGGCCATTTTTGAAGATATTTAGCTAAAACTTGCTAGAGTTAGTCATAATAACGCGTTCTATCACATATATTCCGGTTTTTTCGAAAAGTCAAAAACTTTTTGAAAAAAAATGTAAAAATGTAAATTTTGAATTTCATTATATGAAATTTTCAAAATTTTCAAAATTTTGAAAATCCGAGATAGCAGTTTGATAGCGCAGTCTATTCTGAGTCCTCTCATGCAAAGAAATTGGATCTAGCTTAAAAACTGAGCTCTTGGGAGCGATTGCCGTGGTTCAATGTTTTGCGTCGAAATCGGCCGAACATGACGTCCCTCTGACGTCATTTCCGGCCGACCTATGGTAGCTACGAAGTTCAAATTTTGACACAAGGTGTCAAATTGATGCAGCCGAAGGTACTGAAAGTTTGGCGTCGATACGTCAAGCGGTTTGGAAGTTATGGCAGAAAAACGGGAGGGGGGGCTATAAATAGCCCCCCCCCCAGTGGGGCGCGGGTTAACCGGCGCCTAACTTGTACTGGTCAGCTGGTCAGCATACACATGGTCAGCTGCGCCCGTGACGTCAGACTTGGCGGACCAATCAGCGGTCGCCGTCCGGCCCCGGCGCGGCGGTTTCAAACCGTTCAAACCAGCAGTTGTCGCGCGGCCGCCGTGCAGCATGGATCAGCGACGAGGGCTGTTCCAGCATTTGTGCAGTAAAAAGTGAAATCTGTGAACTGTGGTGTTCGTGCTGTGAGTGAGGCCCGCTCTGGCCTGCGGGACGCACTAATCGTGCCTATACCCGCGGTCGAGACGCCTCCCTTCCCCTGCGCGCGCAATGTAAGTGGACCAGACCTTTGCATGCACATGTGAGCAGATGTTTTGCGGTCGGTGTTTTTTTATATATAAATACATTTATTTGCCTTTAATTCAACTCTTTGTATTTTTAACTTAACTGATGGACATACATGGGCTGTAAAAGCTAATCTGGTTGGCGATCATGCTTTATTCGAATTATCTGCGTGATCGTGCAACTGCCATGATTGTTATGGTCAATGTGGAAATATTCGTCATACGGGCATGTTATACTTCTGGCTTGATGCGATGCACAAAACCATGTTCTTCCACATACGCAGCAGTTCTTGCTTCAAAGACTTATATGCTGACGGTGCACGATAGGTATACCTTATACCTCATGCATTTACCACATCCATTCGAAAATATGCACTTGGAATTGTCTCCAGTCAATAGTATTAATTACATACTACGTGATGTAGGTACGTGACCGTAATAAATACTAATGATTCCAGAAACTTCGGAATGGATGTGGTGTATGCATTCGTCGATTATATAACCCATCAGTATTTCGTTTCTTGTCAGCGCAAGCCTTTGAGCAATAACTGATGCCAGTCATGATTTTGTGCACCACTTCCAGCCAAAAAATGACCTGTCCGTATAGAAAATATTTCCTGAATCAGTATCGTGGCAATTGAAAACGAACGCGAATCTTAAGTTCTTAAGGTCATCAACGCAAACAAAGCGATTGTAAGGAAGAACAAGTTCGAACTGAGCGTTAGTACACTTACTTGTTGACAATTTGTAAACTAGCAATGCCCAGTCAAAGGCTAGTTCATCAACAAACCAGGGGCTGTTGAACCGACAAGGAAACGGCTATGCCTATCCAGAAGTTGGTAGGTTCACAAGGCCCAGACTAGTACTCAACAAGGTGACGCCTATGCGAATTGGAACCAAACTTGTAGACAAACTGTTAGTTTGTTGGCCAACACGCCTGGGGCTGGTGAATCGACAAGGTGACGCCTATGCGAATTGGAACCAAACTTGTAGACAAACTGTTAGTTTGTTGGCCAACAAGCCTGGGGCTGGTGAATCGACAAGGTGACGCCTATGCGAATTGGAACCAAACTTGTAGACAAACTGTTAGTTTGTTAGCCAACAAGCCTGGGGCTGGTGAATCGACAAGGTGACGCCTATGCGAATTGGAACCAAACTTGTAACAAGGAGCCAGCTTGTAGATTTGGTTTACAGTGTAGGGCTAATGTTAAAATGCCAAAATCAAAGGGGGCACGGTACCCCGGTGCCCTCCTCGTTCCGCCGCCTATGCTTTCAGTTTGGCGACCGCACCCGTAGTGGACACTGAACAGTGAATGCAGGAATACCTTACATCTGCACACAATGT